AGGAGTTGAGTTAGGATTGGTTATAGCTGATTCTCCCCTTGCCGGGATGTTTATCTCGATAATGTTGCTCCCTTGCCGGGAAGTTATTACATTGCTTTTGTTCCCTTGCCGGGAAGTTATTATATTGCTTTTGTTCCCTTGCCGGGATTCCTTGTGATTTTGTGTTGGCTTGTAAATGGGATCGGGTGGTACGCCTACCACGAGATATGATGAAATGGGATCGGGTGGTATGCCTACCACGAGATATGATAAAATGGGATCGGGTGGTACGCCTACCACGAAGTATAATGAAATGGGATCGGGTGGTACGCCTACCACGAGATATGATGAAATGGGAGCGGGTGGTACGCCTACCACGAGATATGAGAAATGGGATCGGGTTGCACGCCTGCAACGAGATGTGAACTTAAAGTGTAAATTGCCTTTGTTTTTTTCCTTATTCTGTTAGAAGTTAAATTTTGGTTTCTTGATAATTTTCGAGATTCTGTTTTATCTGTTATCCCCCGAAGCATGTCTCCCCTTCCTAGCCTTAATTGTTTGTTCTAGTTTATTTTTCCCGCTGTATATATATAGAACTGCACAGGTTTATCTGGAGTCTGGTCCTAGCCTCGTCACTACCTCGCCGGGGTGTCACGACCCAGATTTCCCACCCTCGGGAGTCGTGATGGAGCCTACTAATGTGAGTTAGGCAAGCCAAACCTTTGATCTAAATGCTTCATTAACCACTTATTTCAAGCCAAACCTTTGATCTAAATGCTTCATTAACCACTTATTTCATTAAAACAATTATAAGGCGATAACGTGATAACAACGGAAATTCAATTTAAGCGGAAGACAACCATGACATATATGAAAACTATATATATTACAAATACTTAAGCCTTAACCACCCAAACCTGATGTCACAGTGTCACAGACGGTCTAAGATTGCTATATACAAGGTCTGAAGAAATAACAGTACACTGTTTCTGAATAAAAGGAAAACGAAACAGGAAAAAAAAAATAGAGGAGACGCCAGGGCCTGCGGACGCCTGCAGGTCTACCTTGGATCTCCGCGTGAACTGAAAATAGCCTCCAACCTACGGTCCAAAAGCTGCTCCGAGATCTGCACATAGTGCAGAGTGTAGTATCAGCACAACTGACCCCATGTGCTGGTAAGTGTCTAGCCTAACCTCGGCGAGATAGTGATGAGGCTAGACCAGACTACCACATAAACCTGTACAGTTCAAATATATATATACTGCGGAAAAGAGACACAGAAATAACCAGTCAAAATGGGAGGGGGAGCATGCTGTGGGGGAGATAGCAATTCCGAATAGAAAGACATTAAATAAACGAAAGAAGTAACATAACTCAGATATCAACAAGAGACAGAATTCAATAAATGCACGGCATCACCCTTTGTGCTTTTACTCTCGTCCTCACCAAAGCAATCATATAATAAAAGTGTGCACGGCATCACCCTTCGTGCTTTTACTCTCTTTCCTCACCATATAATCAATAAAATCGGCACGGAATGGTCCATCGTGCGGCACGGCATCACCCTTCGTGCTTTACACTCTTTCCTCACAATAATCAATAATATCGGCACGTAATGGTACATCGTGCGGCACGGCATCACCCTTCGTGCTTTACACTCTTTCCTCACAATACAAACAATGCACGGTATCACCCTTCGTGCTTTAACGCTCTTCCTCACCCAAACAACAATCACAAGAAATAGGGCAAGGGAATAAATAAAAATTTGCAATAAAGACCCCGGCAAGGGAACAACATTTCAACAAATATCAACACCCCGGCAAGGGAGATAACAAATAAATCAACAATAGCCCGGCAAGGGTGTTAACATGATAACTTCTTTTCTTTCTCACTTTTACTTCAGAATTCACTTCATAACTCGAGCCAATGCTCTTGAGATTCTATTATCACTTACACTTTCACAATTCGTTATATAACTTGAGCCAACGCTCCTCAATGTTCAAAAGTCACAATTCCTTCCACAAACTTTACACAACATATAGAAACCATCACCAAGGCATGAAAGATACAACGAAGTCATGAAAATCACAATATAAAGACTCACGGGCATGCTAGACACCAACGTATAGATACTCGTCACCATGCCTATACGTTGTACTCAACAATTAACACTTAGCAAATAGGACTCAACTCCTAATCCCTCAAGCTAAGGTTAGAACAAACACTTACCTCGATGCCACAAACACAATTCAAGTTTCAATTATAGCTTTACCCCTTGATTCCACCGCCAATTCGCACGTATCTAGTCACAAGTTACTTAATTACATCAATAAACGCTAAATGAATCAATTTGAATGCATAGAAATAAATTTCCCAAAGTTTTTCCCAAAAGTCAAAAATTGCCCTCGGGCTCACATGGTCAAAACTCGAGGTTCGAACCAAAACCCGATTACCCATTCCCCCACGAACTCAAATGTATAATTTATTTTGAAATCGAACCTCAAATCGAGGTCCAAATCCCCAATTTTTGAAAAATCTAGGTTCTACCCAAAAACACCCAATTTCTCCCATGAAAATCATTGATTTTAAGTTGAAATCATGTTAAAAGATGTTAAAGAGTGAAGAAACGAGTTAGAAATCACTTACCAACGTTTTGGAGAAGAAAGGTTGTTTGAAAAATCGCCTCTTATGTTTTTGGGTTTTTGAAAAGTGAAAAATGACTGAAAATCCCGTCTATATATATACCTCTCAGAACCCCTGTGCGGACCGCACAAAACCGACTGCGACCGTACAGCCCTTCCTGACCCTGTGCGGACCGCACAAAGTCGACTGCGGCCGCACAGCCCTCCACCGCGCACCGCGTAAATTCGACCGCGGACCGCACTGACCCCTCCGCGGTCGCACACGATTTCTCCCGGACCGCACTAGCGGGTTCAGAGAGCTGAAATTGCTCTGAACCTGCAATATCTGAGTTTTTAAACCTAAGACCTCTCGGAACCTACCCGAAACTCACCCGAGCCCTCGGAACTCCAAACCAAACACACGTACTAACTCAACAACACCATACGAACTTATCCGTGCGATCAAATCGCCAAAATAACCTCAATAACGACGAATTACACCTCAAAATCAAAGGATTTTTCTCAAACTTCATAAAACATCAACTTTAGCAATTTAGGTCTGAATCACGTCAAACGACGTCCGTTTTTCACCAAATTTCACAGAAACATCTTAAATCATATATAAGACCTGTACCGGGTGTCGGAACCAAAATACGGGCCCGATACTAACATACCCTAATCAAATTTCATTTCAAATTTCCTTAAACAAATTTCAGAAAATTATTTCTTTCAAAAATTCATTTCTCGGGATTAGGACCTCGGAATTCAATTCCTGGCATACGCCCAAGTCTCATATTTTCCTACGGACCCTCCGGGACCGTCAAATCACGGGTCCGGGTCCGTTTACCCAAAACGTTGACCGAAGTCAAATTTATTCATTTTATAATCAAAACTTATCATTTTTTTCACAGATTTTCACATCTAAGCTTTCCGGCTACGTGCCCGGACTGCGCACGCAAATCAAGGTAGTGCTAAGGGAGGTTTTTAAGGCCTCGAAATGTAGAATTTCATTGCAACACAAGTGATGACTCTTTTTGGGTCATCACACGGGGTTAGGCCAGGCACTTACCAGCACATGGGGTCGGTTGTGCTAACGCTACACTCTGCACTCTGTGCAGATACCGGAGCAGTATTGGGACAGCATTAGTAGCTTGGGAGCCATCCTTCAGTCCATAGAGATCCCAAGGTAGTCCGCAGGCCCAGCGTCTCTTCTATCTTCTATTATGATCTGTTATCACTTGTATCCGAGACAGACTGAGTTTCTTTCTTTCAGACATTTGTATGTAGTAATCATAGACGGTCCGTGAATGTTGTGACACCGATTTCTGGGTAGAGACATATGTTGGCTATTCGTATCGATTTTGGTATTATATTTATCTAAGTCCTCCGCTTAATTTCATCTTCCACTACTGTTTAAATGTTGATCACCTGTTGTTACAAGTAGTTAAAAGTGTTAAAAATAAAAAGGTTAAAGATTTCTAAATTTCGTGGCTTGCCTAGCTTCTACGAGTAGGCGCAATTACGACTCCCGAGGGTGGGAAATCCGGATCGTGACAGTTACATTATCTCACCAGGTATTGGGAAATTGTACGTATTGAGCTGATAGTCTATTGATGAAATTATTGATGTTTTGAAATTCTAAGTTTTTATTTGATGTTTCCGCATATTGTTAGGCTTACCTAGCCTTAGAGACTAGGTGTCGTCATGACTTCCTATAGAGGAAATTTGGGATCGTAACATCTATGAATAAAAAATGTTTGACAAAAGAACATATCATTAGGTTGCTCTTCTAGTTTTATAGCTCAAATGTTACAATTCTTATTTTTTATATCTTATATTAGGAAGAATCTTATTTACAATAATATTGGTACACAGGTAAAATGCTTATCAACGTCACAACAATAACCAAATATAACATTTTTCTATATCTTATATTAGGAGAATCTTATTGACAATAATATTGGTACAAAATACAATGCTTATCAACCTCGCAACAATATTAACCAAATATATCATTATCATGAGCAACAACGACTTGTTTGGATGGTTGTTACCTATTGTATTGTATCATATTATTACTTTAAATACAATATTTATTTTGATTGTTAGTTTAATTTTATTGTATCGTATTGTTAAATATGTCGTTATATAACAACGAAAAGTGCCACTTTATGTAACGACGGATTTGGTGTGGTAGCGGCGTTACCTTGATTTTTCCTCTCATCTTTCTTTCGCTTATTATTAAATAATTATATTTTCTCCTTTATTCTACTTTTTTATATATTAATTCTACCATGTGTCCTATTTTTTCTTAATAATGTTACAAGTTTATTCTTTATATTGTTGGTGCGTGACATCATTAAACAACGGCAAATGATACAATTTATCCAAATATTGTATTCATCAAACAATACAATACAATACAATATGATGCATTATAAAATGACATGTAACAACCATCCAAACAAGTTGTAAGTGGTACATATGATAAATGCATGAATCATCAAATAAGGACCAAATCTCAATAATTAATTGTCTAGTCAACTTTAGCTCTGAATTTTGAGGGCAGCCTCTTTGATAAGCCTGAATGACTCGACAAAATCATCTCCAAGTTGATTCGGATCTGGAATTATTCCTTCATCAACTGCTACTGCAAATGTTAACTTCTTGGCATAACTACACCCATGAACCATTATCCCCTATAATATAATATGCATTTGAATTTAGCGAATGTTGACTTGAGTAGTTTTGTTTTTCAATTATATAACTGATCTCAACTAGTTTGTGATTGAAGAACAGTTGCTTGATTAATTGAAGAAACTTACAGTGGATTGTCCATAACATGTTGGAGCAATGAATGCCAATGGGTGGCCTGACAAAGAAACTTCTTCTAGCGGACCGACTACGTTTGAAAAGAATAGTGTTGTATGAGATAGAGCTCTTGGAGCAAGAGCGGCCGCACCCTACGTGCAAAGCAATAATTAAGCAAAAAATTAGTAAGGTCTAGATTACAAGTTTCAAAGACAATTAAAAAATGGAAAAGGGTCTGATATATTCCTCTATTATGATAAATCTTTTAAAATTGTCCCCCATTATACTATTGTACCATAAAACTCCCAGCCGTCTTACTATTCGAACAAATATACCCCTTCTTTGACGCACTGGACACGTGGCACCCATCCGTGTCCTTTTTACATCTGGCCACATATTAAATCGACCCACCTCATTTCTTTTAACCTGATTCACTTCAAAAAAAACCATTGCTCGACCCGAAGTCCACCCCCATTGCTTCTCTAATCTCTCTCTCTCTCCTCTTTTCCTTCTCAATGTTATAATCATGGCCGAAATTTCCATCGGCGGACTCGCCGAAAACGATGGAGAACCTTCAGATTTGTCACCTCGCACTTTCTCTATACCTACACACATATTTATACACAGATCTGGAGAAATATACAACATTAGGAAATTAACTTGAACACATTTCTATCCTCTCTGTTTTACCATTATTAACAAACCCCTTTGCAACTCACTCTTACATATATCACCAAAAATATTTTCATCACCATTTTGAAGATGATGTTAAATGTTGCCAATTTCTGGTCACCACAAGCAAAAAAATTTTAACACAACAGTGTCATTCGGTCATTGATCTTCAAAATTAGCAACTGTTTTTTCTAAACTCAGTCTAGGTCCTATGAAAGATTGCAACTTAATTCATAAATTCCCATAAGATGTAAGCATGTTCCTTAAATTTTAGACTTTCTATTTGTGAAAATGACAATAAAATTGCCTCAGAATTGCATCAATCTCTTCTTCGGCATTTCAAGATCCAACTGAGTAGCACCATATGGGGCGTCTCAGATCTCCACTATACTTCCAATCTTATTTGGCAGTGACGGCGAGTGTAGGGGGAGGTGGTCGTGGAAGAAGAAAGGGATGGAGGGGGATAAGGTGGAAGAAGAAGAGGGTTAGGTCATGGGTTCTGGGTCTTGGGTAATGGGACGGGTCGAGTTTAATTTTAGACTAGATATACCAAGAGCCTTGGATACGTGCCAAGTGTCCAGTCCGTCAAAGAAGGGGTATATGTGTTCAAATAGTAAGACGGCAGGGAGTTTTATGGTTCAATAGCATAACGGGGACAACTTTAAACAATTTATCATAGTAGAGGGACAGATCAGACCCTTTTTCGATTAAAAAAACATCTCTATTTTGCTTGATAATTTTAGGATTTGTTCACTTTTAACTCGCGCCAGAAACTATTTACATTTGGTAGCCGAAAAACTATATAAAATTTGTATAATATATAGAATGTATATATATACAAAAAATATATATTTTCCGGCTATTATTTTGAGAACGGATATACCGTGTCATTTTTCTATAATTTTTTTAAAGATGTAAAGAGAGAATGGAGTACTACCTTAAATCCAAATAACTTGATTAAGAGTTCTGAGAGATAAAAGGTGCATCGAGACTCAAGAGAATGCTTCTTTCGATCCATTGTTGTGTTAGCTTTGCGAACATAGTCGAGAGGATTATCTAATTGGGATATAGATAAGGGAATTATTACAATACCAAAACAATTTCCTTGTATCACTACAGCATTCTTCTCAATCATTTCAGCTACAGCCTGCCGTAACAATCATGTGAAATCAATTGATAATTAGGCACATATATTTGCCATAGTAGTAACACAGTTATCAATCTTTAAGCAAAATATTTCTGGATCAGTATTTTGTGAATACTAGCTATAAGTAACCTTGGATGATTTTGGATTTTACACGCGGTAGATGAAGAAATACTCACTTGGACTCCTAAAACAGGTCTCAGATTCATTACAACACTGGCTCTGCATCTCATTTTTTGTGGTGAAAAGTTCCTCTTCCCTTCAATTTCTTGATATGGTCATGTTAAGAATAAACACAATAAAAAGTTTAGCCAGCATGGTTTAAAGCAAACTTTACGTCATTGTTACACACAACCACAAATATATGACTATTTTACCCAGAAAAACAAATATATGACTTTTGTACCTCCCCCTCCCCCCACCCCCCCAC